TAACAAAAAGGCCAGCGAATTGGCGCACGACTAGTGGAACTGTGAGGAAAAGATAGCGAGCGGGAGAGACGAAGCCAAAGCGAAAGCTAGCCGAGACGACCAGGCTGAAGAAAGAACGCCCCAATTCCCGTCACCGATCGTCTCGGTGGTTTCCGCAGGACCTCTATTCAATCCCAGCCTGACTGGATGACACCCAGGGGTCAAACTCCTGCCAGCCCCGATCGATGCTGGAGGCAGATATGCCTGCTCTGTGTGGGAATCCCCCCCCCCCAACACACACACATGCACACACATGACCTGTGGCAAAATAAGACTGAGAGAAATAACTGTAAGAGTTGGGAACTGTAAGAGTGTGGTCCTCCAGGCGTTGGGCTGCAATGCCCAGCGTTCCTCATCATTGGCTGTATTGTGTAGAGCTGTGAAGAGTTGCCGTGCAAAACACCTGGAGGACCACCACATTCCCCCTCACAGACAGACAGACAGACAACAGAGAGACAGAGAGGTCATTGGGGCCTCGGCTGTTGGCTGCAAGGGTGGAAGGCCCCCTTCCCGGCTTTCCTTGCCCGAGAGGCCCCTCCTCACTCACCTTCCTGCTGGGAGACCGGTTCGTAGGACAGGATGTACTCCTCGGGGCCACCTGGGGGGGCAAAGGGGGGGGTCAGAGGCCAGGGAGGCTCTCCCGGGCAACAGACACCATTCCAAGGGGCCGACTACTGGGGCCCAGTCCCTCCCAGAGAAACCCTGTGGGGGCCCAAGACTGAGAGAGAGAAGGGGGCTGTTTTCCCAAAGGAGAAGACCTGGAAGGGGAGCAGGGGGGTCTCCGGGGGGGGGGGAGTCCCACTTACGGTAGCTGCTTTCGCTGTCGCTGGCGTTGGAGGTCACGTGCTCTGAGGGGGAAACACAAGAGGCGGGCAAGGGGTCAGGCCAGGTAAGACGTCTGGCCTGGCAGCAAAACTGGCCCAAGTCAGAGGGCAGTACGGAGGGCTCTCGACTGACCCTTGGGCTGCGGCTGCAAGGAAGCCCCGGAGAGACCAGGGCAAAGAAGAAGAAGAAGAAGCAGCGCAAATGGGCAGCAGCGCAGAAGGAAGTGCTCCAGGTGGGCATGGGGGGGGGGAGGGGAGGGGAGGGGAGGGGAGGGGGGGGGGGGCCCACGGCCACTGCAGGGCCCTCAGCCTGGGATCAGGCTCAGAGGGGGGCCTGGAGCCATCAAGGCAGGAAAAGAAAGGGAGGGGTTCTGGTGGCAGCCAAGAGCCGTGGCCAGGGGCTGTGTGGGGGGCCCCCCAGGGGTGCCACAGAGGAGCCACTTGGACTTGAGGTGATGGCCAGAAAAGGGCCAACATATGGCTCAACCAAGAGCAACAATGTGATGGGGAGGAGGTATCTCACAAGGACCCCTCTGTATAGAAATCAGTAGATCTCAATCCTGCTCCCCCAGAAGCCTTCGCTGTCTGAAGTTGAACATGTTAGGGAAGAGCCCCCCCCCCGCCCCCAGGAGTGGAGAAGGGAGCCTCTATTGGTCAGACAACCAGTCTGAAAGGGGGGGGGCACTCCTTTCTCAACCCACTCTGGATGGGGTGAACCAAGAATGCAAAGAAGAGCGGGACGGATTGGGGTCAGGCCTCCTTGGCCCACCCCCTTCTCACTGCTTGCTGCTTGACGTCTTCATTTGGGCAGGGGGGGGGTCAGGTTGGGCCACATCAGGCCGAGGGGGGGGGGCAATGTGGCCCTGGGTGGCATCAGGGACCGGTCAACCCCAAGAGCCAGAAGAGTGGGACAGATTGGGGCCAGGCCTCCTTGCCCACCCCCCTCTCGCTGCCTGCAGATTGACCTCTTCATTTGAGGGGAGGGGGGGTCAGGCTGGGCCACATAAGGCTGGGGGGGGGGCAATGTGGTCTTGGGTGGCATCAGGGCAGGTCAACCCCAAGAGCTTGGGGGGGGGGGGCACATGTCACAGGACAAAGAGAAGCCAAGAAGAGAAGGGGGCCACAGGGCTTGGCTTTTGGCCACTCTCCCCAGAACGTGCCCAGCCTTTGAGGCCGCTCTTCATAGGGCTTGTTCTCCAGACCTTTGATCCTTTGAGTCGCCCTCCTCTGGACTCACTCCAGGGAGATGTTGACTCCAAGCTAGAAGGTGTCCAGAGGCGACTCAAAAGATCGTGGGCCTGGAGAACAAGTCCTATGAGGAGTGGCTGAAAGACCTGGGCATGTTTAGCCTGCAGAAGAGAAGGCTGAGGGGAGACAGGAGGAGGGCCAGGGACCCAGAGGGGAGAGGGAGGAAGTCACAGGGAGGAGGAAGCACGTTTGTTTTCTGCTGCCCAGGAGACCACAACGCAATGGAGCAAGGATATTCCACCTGAACATGAGGAAGAACTGTTCACCAGTGGAACTCTCTCTCTCTCTGCCCCGGAGAGAGTGTGGTGGAGGCTCCTTCCTTCTTTGGAGGCTTTGAAGCAGAGGATGGGTGGCCATCTGTCGGGGGTGCTTTGATTGTGGTTGTCCTGCTTCTGGGCAGAATGGGGTTGGACTGGATGATGATGGCCCACCCGGCCTCCTCCAACTCTAGGATTCTCGGATTCTATCTACGCTTCCTCCAAAATTGTGGAACCAAAGCTGCTGAAATCCTGGGGGTTTCCCACCATCAGGGCGGCCATCCTACGGTTCTTATGATAGGCAGCACTTTCTCCCTTTGGGACAGCTCTTGCCTTGAAGACAGGAGACCACCCCCTCCAAAGGTGGGCCTCCCCCCAGAACCTGTGCATGGTGAAGGACGGCCCACCCATGGGGGCTCGCATGGAGACCGGAATCCCGTTGGTCCCCCGGGCAGGGAAAACCCAGAATGAGATAGAAAGAGGGCCAGTTGTCCTGAGCAGGGCCTGCTTCTGTCCAGGGAATCCCCCCCCCCCTTTGCAGGTCAAGGTAGGCGCTCAAAGGAAGGTCAACCGAGAAGCCGGCCAGAGAGGGTTGGGGGCCTGGCCTTGGGAGGAGGCACTGAGGGGGGCCAATGAAGCTGGCCTTTAGCAGCAAGCAGGTGGGCCTGAGGGGCTGGTGGGGAGTGGGGAGGGGGCAGAAGGGGGCCCAGGCCCCTCGCAAAAGGCCCAAAGAGAGGGAAAGGCCCCAGGCCCAGGGAAAGCGGGAAGCCAGGCAGGTGGTGGCCATTGGGGAGGGAGGGGGGGGTCCAAGGCCCCCCTCCCCCCTCCTCCTCCGAGTGCAGTGAGAGGCAGGGGTTGGTCATTGGGGGTCAGGGGGGTCGGAGAGGGGTCACTTACTCAGGCCTTTTGATCCCATGTCTTCAGGGATCTCCTGCAGAGAAGTTCCCAGGGGGCAAGCAATAAAGAGACAATCACAAAGAAAACAACCGTCAGTCATGCAGAGGGGAACGGCGGGTGATGATGATGAGGATGATGGCAGCCGACAGCCAGGCAGGCGGTTCCAAGAGCCTCCTTCTTGGAGGGGGGGGTCAACATCTGCCCGGGGGAGTCCCTTAGATCAAGCCAATGTCCATCCCTCGTCCCCTCCTCCCTGATTTTATGGTCCAGTTTTGGGGGGGGTTCCCTCCCTCCCTTCCCCCCCCCGCCCCTGAGGGATCTCTTGGAACCGCCCCCTTTGAGGCAGGCAACGCGCTCCGTCCATCTGTCCGTCCACTGGTCACTAGGAAAGCCCTCACTTGTCACTTGGTCAGTTGGTCACTCAGCCTGGCGCAAGGCCCCCCCTCCGTACTTACGGTCCAGGTCACTGGTCTCCTGCTCACTCTGCTCCTTGTTCTTGTAGAAGGGGAACTTGCGGGAAAAGAGGTTCTTTTTACGCTTATCATTGAATGACTGCTGGGGAAGAGAAGGGAGAAGGGAGCAAAACACAGGCGGTTGGACCTCCGCCCTCGCAGGGGCCCCAAGAAGCACCAAGGGCCCCAAGAAGGCAGCAAAGGGGCTGGAGGCGGCAGAAGGGGGGGGGGCTCCAGGAAGAAGGAGGGAGGGGAAGGAAGGGAAGGGAAGGGAAAGGAAGGAGAGCCAGCACCGCCCCACTGCTTTGGACCACCACCCCATTCCTGCCCTGGCCCAAAAGAGCCGAGGAGGTGAGTCGCATGGGCCAAGCCCTGCTCCTCCTATGGCTGAAAGGGGCTCTCAATTGGGGGGGGGGGGCTCCAAGAAAGGCACCCTCTGCAGCTGAAGCCTTCCTCTTCCCAGCCCACCTGCCCACAACCAGAGAAGGTGGTCTCAGGACCCCCCCCCCCCTCTTCTTCGCTTCCCTCGCTGCCCAAATCTCCCTTGAGCCAGCCTGCCTGGGTTGGCAAGTCCCTCCTGCAAAGGCTGGTGGTCCCAGTAGCAAAGGGCCCAGTAGCAAAGCGGCCCGATATTTATTTATATTATTTATATATTTACAGCTTTTCTATTCCGCCCTTCTCCTCACCCCGCAGGGGACTCGGGGCGGATTAGTGTACACATATATGGCAAACATTCAATGCCAATTTTTGACATGCAACGTATACAGACATAGACAGAGGCTATTTAACTTTTTTCTGGCCGCCAGGGGAGCTGTCGCTTTCATCGTCCATCTGCGACACTGAGGAAGTACTTCCGCATTCCCCGCATGCTTCCCCGCTGGAGTCTTCTTTACGGCCTCATAAATCAGTTAATTTAGCCTCCCCACACTTTTAAGGTGGTACCTAATTTTCCTACTTGACAGGTGCAACTGTCTTTCGGGTTGCAAAGGTCGACAACAGGCTACACACAATTGGTTGGAAACCTACTCCAACCTGGGCTGGCTTCGAACTCATGACCTTTTTGGTCAGAGTGATCTTAATGCAGCTGACACTCAGCCAGCTGCGCCACAATCCCGGCGCTCCCCCCCTCCCTGAGCTCCTCTTTCTCCTGGTGTCAGTGTGGGAGGGGGCCGCCTCCTCAAGAGCAATGCTTATTGGAGGGAGGGGTGCATGGTCAAGTGGCAGAAGCAGGCTGCAAAAGCAAAACATTAGTAGCAGAAGCCGTGGCAGCAGCCAGGGTGATACGAA